GGTTTCACGTGCGATGGGCTCACGTAATGCAACAGAGTGCTACAACCGCTATTGCAACAGCTCGCTGGCGCTGAAGCTCAACCCTATCACTTCTCAAGAGGAGAATCGAATTCGTCGCATGAGAAAGGATCGACAGTCGTGGAGAAAGATTGCTCGCAAATTCCCAGGCCGTACTGACGCCCTTCTCAAAAACTGGTGGTGGCAGAACAACAAGCCAAACCAGAGAGAACTTCGGTCTCATTATCACCGCAACGTACAAGATGTCCCGGCCAAGGAGCCTGGCTGTGACGGCAGTCAGTTTGAAGAGACTGCTGCCAGAAGAAATTGCCCGGAAACTGCGACGCAAAGGGAAGGCAACATGGAGGAGCAGACAGCCAACACCGACATCGGAACACGCCGCAACACCGAGAAGCAAGCCGGCGAGCCACAGACGAGAGAGAGCACGTCTTCTACACCAAATCACCTGAAAACACCGACACCTACCACCAGAGTCGAGCCGCAGAAAAGTTTCTCTCCTCAAAGAGTCCCAGTTGTCTATTGCAGAAGGCGAAATAGGGCTACGGCCCTGCAGAATCGGGGTTTCGGCGCGAAGCCTCAGCCTCTCAATACTCATAACGAAGTCGGCGCCGCTGCTGACACCAAGATAAGCGCGATGGCTCACCCCCCGGCCAACCATGCCAAGATCGCGATCGCAAAATGCGCCGGCAAAAATGAACAGGTCGCACTGCCCGACGGTAGCAGTAGATGGGTACAACGCGCCGCAACTCGTTATGGTCAAGTTGTCCCCGCTTCAATCCCTGCTGTGAACATGCCCAACACACATCTGCCTCGACACTTCGAGACACGTCGCTTGCCATATCCCAGGCCTTGGAACAACACTCACCGCGAGACGGCTCTCACTTTGAATCAACGAAACAGCCCTAGTGGCTTCTCTTACTGTGGTCTCCCACGAGACTATGAGTCGGCGGCGCTCCAAGCGAAGTTGCGAATGCGTGCAGAAAAGAAGGGTGCAACGACATGCGAAGGTGCCACCTACATGTCAGAGAATTTGTGCTTGAGTGACACCCTTGCAAGGACTACTACGCGTATACTATAGACCGTCTTTGCGAGAATGGAAAACTGCTTGGAGGAAACTGTAAAGGACGAGGAAAGACAAATTAGGGATGCCAGAAGATTGCGGTTTTTATAAGCTGAATGTGTTTAAGATATGACTTCTATTTCTCTCGTCATTACCTTGCGATGCACCACTCGCTCATGGGATTGCCTGAGCGGGCAAAAGGAGAGAGTCCAGCAGCCCCAGCTGGCTGTGTGAATGTTCGTCACCCAGAAACTTTTGGAAACCGATCTCCACAGCCGCTTCTCAGGTCTGCTGCACATAGCTATTCGGTACATCACGATGACGTGTAAATTTTCTTGTAGCTAGCTCACGCTTGACGGAGGTGATTTTCTTTGCTAGATCACGACTATTTTTCATATACATATCTGTCCCATCCGTCATCGCCATGTACGATGCGGATATGCGATCCTGGCCATACTTAGCGTGTTACTTCTACACTGTCATTTTTCAGACTTACCCAATGGCATGGAAACTCGAGATTTAGAGCAATCCGCGTAGAACATAAAGTTAGGAGGGCCACCAATAGCAGGATCTGTACAGGATATGCCAGGACCACTATACATGGTTAATATAGTTAGCAGTTTGGTAGAAGAAAGCACTAACTCTGAAGCTGGTAAAATATTACCATTCCGGTACGTGAACAGTAGATCGAAATTTCCGTCAATCCACTTGTCGCTGCACCAGCATATGAAACTTTTCTCCGAGGTGACCGAGCATACCTTGCAGGCCTTCTCCAGAAAGCCCGTGGGCGCTGCAGACGTAGACCCGGACGTCGAAGTAGGCGGTGGACTTGATGACTGACTAGGCATTGGGTTGGATGCTGAGTCGGATGCTGAGCTGGATGCTGAGCTGGAGGCTGAGTCGGAGGTTGAGCCTGATGCTGAGCTACATGTGGAGATTGACGTCGAATTGGATGCTAAATTTGACGAAGTAGTAGTCGACGAAGTAGATACAGAACTAAGTCCAGATGCCGAGCTAGACACAAGACTGGATTCTGAGTCCGGCTTCGAAATCGATTCTGTACTCGAAACTATGCTTGACGGTGAGGTAGGCAAATTTGATGCCGAGGTAGCCGGTGAGCTAGTTGCAGTTGTCGCCGGCGTCGTGTCGGAAGATGTGGCGACATTTAGACTCAACTCTTGGGACCTGGGAACTCGGAGAAACATTGCACCTGTGAAGGAGAAATCTGACGACCACCAAATAGAAGACGAAAGCGCGGCAGCGGGGAGCGGAGTTGTATATGATACGGTATAAGTAGACTCTGGGAAAATATTGTCATAACCGCTCGACGAAGGATTCCATGAGCTGAAGGATCTTTCTACTTGTGGGCCATAGACGACGGCAAGGTCCAGAACCTTTTGTTTTGTCAAAGGGTTCCAAAGTCCCCGTGTCGCGAGAACGGTTGCCGTAGGGGAGGTAGCAGTGGGAGAGTTAGTAGTCATGAGAGAAACGTCAGTCGTCATGGAAGCTACTACTGAAGCGGAAAAGCCGACAGCAACGCAGAAAGTATCAGCGCGCATCCTGACGCTTGGTCGAATGAGAGCACAGAGACTTGGCAAAGGTCATCTTGTTACAGTAGATAGATGCAGTCTTATACTATATTATACCTACAAAAACATATAGAGCCGGTTTTGGCTCTTTTCCTCGTCTACGAGAAAGCTCCTGAATATGCCAAAGCAGGACCACATTATCACAAGAGATGAGAGCTGCAATCGGCGCAAGAAGAGTGAGAGGCGGTCAGCACAAAGTGGAGACAAACAGAGTAGAAAGAAGAATGGCGTCATGTCCGGTGAGCTGTCGTGTCCGGTGAGCTGTCGTGTCCGGTGAGCTGTCGTGTCCGGTGAGCTGTGATTCGCGGTCTGTGCATCTAATCGCGATGCCTCCCCAAAAATGCACTATTGAGTGCCCTCAAGCACGAGCGAAGGCCCCAACTGGGATTTACCGCCCAAATTCTCCCAGCGCTCGCACAATATGGCAACGACAGACTGTCCTGAGCCTCGGTGGAAAATCGCGCAGAGAACTCACAACTACCCTCTTCGAATAAATCCAGATGAAATGGGACGGTGCATCATCGGCTTTACGTCGCCGCCAGTAATTTGTTCTTCATACGATGAGCACTTCAACTGGTTCGCATATAGTAAAAAAAAAAATGCTGCCCAGATTACAACCCCGATAATGGTAGAGGCAAACATGGCCCTAGTGATCAATGCCTCGGAGCTTGCTGTGGGAAGGCCCCAGCATTTGGCCAGAGAACCTCTATACCAAAATATGACCGAGACCACATGCAAACTCAGATACAAGGTCCTGTTATATAGTCTTGGACAAATGTTGCTGGCACTATATCCGCACACCATTGTGGGCCAGACACTGATGATGAGGATAAAAACGAAGCTATTAGACTGAGTAACTTCTTTTCTCCTTACTCTGACTATCACAAGTCAGTGCTTTTACGTGCCTCAAATGATCTTCGGACTCTTCTTACTTGATGCTGAAAGAATGAGCTGGATAGCGACGAGGAGCGAGAAGCCCACGCGGGCAGTGCATGGATTTCGACGACACAAGAGTTCATATATTTGCAACTGGATCAAGAAAGGCCTCAGTCTTCTTTCCTGTTATCCTCGATATTGTTTTGTGGACAGCTTCAGCTCCCCTGCATACTCAAAATCTGGTGTGCTGGCACAGCAAAATCGCCACCAGTATGCCAATTTAAGCCTGTAAAATGAAATTATTTTGCTCAAAACCGCACTCCTCTGCCCTGAAGTAAGTGCGCGCTGTAGTAGCAAATATTGGCGCTGGTGTCTCCAGGCTAATGTGCTGGGTATAAGGTGCTTTAGGCGACAGTATGTACTGCTTGTAGTGAGTCTTGGTGACCTGGCGGGGTACATCTGAGCCGCTATTTATGGCTTTCTAGGCAGCAGCCACGCGAGACTCATACCAGTTTGGTTTTGGTATGAATTCATGTATTTGGAATTTGCTGGAAAGTCCACAGCTGATGTGTAATACTTTCGGTCGGAGCACAAATATCATCTTGGGCCACACTTTTCCGCCATTTAGGCTCCACAACGTCTAGCTAGCGGCGAATGTAAATAATGCTGTAGCATCAGGATGGTGGTTCTTTCCCACCCACAAATTCGCTTTTATTACAGTGACAATAAATACGGACGCCGACTTGGCCCGCCTAATTGCTGTACACCCCGACGATCTTTTCTTCGTAATTGCTCTTGCCAAGTTCGTTAGATCTTCGGCTCCGCGAAAGTCATTTGGGGTTGCCGGGCTGGGTATGTAATCGAGTTCAAGCACCAGTTTATCATAGCAGCGCGACACTCTTTTTTAGCAGAACGAGTATATTTTGGAAATCGGTGTATATTGTGAAGATGTTACTGCATCAATGCTAGTGCACTAGATCCCTGACCACACAGTTGGAAGCTGCAACTTTGGCTGGAATGTCGTTATTCGGCCTCGATCCACCGCTACGCCTTATTAGGGTAATAAAACGCGGCAACAGCGAAGATTAGAAAGGAAGCAAGAAACATGGATCCTTGCAGCCTGTAATACACAAAAGCGATTAGCTTGACATGAAGACGGGTTAGCGACGTACCAATGCACGGAGATACTGTTGATCACATGATTGACCATCAAAACGGACAGTGTCAGTATTGCCACTTGAAAGCCATCCAAGACCATGTCCATTTCCTTCCCCACGGCCCAACCCAGTAGTACGGCGACGGGAAGCACACATAGAGACACGCGAATGGTAGCTCCAAAGGCCCCCTCCGCCACCCAGACCATGCCTTGCCGCGATCGAAGCGCATCGGTGGCGCTCTCCAGGGAGGCCAGTACGCACGGCATGAGCACGAGGCCGACAAAGCTCTCTGAAAGATAATGAGTCGGAGCGTGTATGGACTCGAACATGAACAGCGACGAGAGCGTCAACGATGTTGTGGCAATCACTAACAACAAGAGGTTGAACAAGCTGGAGCCGACCACGGAGTCCTGCTTCGGGTGACAGTTGTTCGCCGCTTCCCTCTCTGACCGCATTTTTCTTTGAGATTTGATTGCTTCTTGGACGAAGTCCTCTGTGTCCTTCATGCCGGTGTACAGCAGTGGAGCGGCAATAACTGCGAGCCCTTCGGGCAAGGAATGCGTAGCACAGTCAGCACTGTCTTCTCTCATGTCGACATGTGTCCAGTAGAAGAAATAAATATAGCAAAGAAATTCAATGAGAAGCACCACTGCCGACCCGCGGGATAATTCTATGAGGCCGACACTCTCTTCTGGAGACATTGTCAGCATAGCGGGGGGCGCTGTGCGCGTGACTCCATCGTACCTGAAGCGAATATATGGAATGCTGTCGGCAGAATCAGGCTTACTAGACTGACGACCAATAGCTGCGCATGAACCTTGGCAACAGCCGCGGGATATTTGACAGTGTGTCGGGCAATTCCTCCCGAGAGTAAGCAGCTGCCAAAAGTCATCAGGCAGCTGGACACTAAAGATCCGGTCAAGGCTGTTTTTGCAATGATTGGTTCGCCTCGCACAACGGCCGTGCAAACGAAGCACAGCTCCGCTATGTTGCTATTTGCATGTCAGTGAGACCTCTCTACCCGGATCAGTGGCAGTACCCGAATAATGCTCCGAAAACACCAGCTGTAAACTCGTATTCGAGCTCCTGCAACTTTACCATGATCCCACGACTTGCGATCCTTGTGAGAGAGGAGGCCGCTATAATGGCGAAAATGGACACAATGAACTCGGCCAAGGAAGCATGGTGCAAGTAGTGAAGTACTACGGCTACGATGAAAAACGTGAGGCTCGCAGCTATCATCACCAGTAGCGGTGCTGGGCAGCCAGCCCAGGGTCTGCTTGAACTTTTCATAGTGAGTTGAATGCAAGCAATCTTCATGGCTAGCTACGGACGTGGGACCGAAGTGGATAATATATAGGGTCGAGATTCATGCCAGCTCAGACACTCTACGTGTTTGCTGGCCGTAGCGGTTGGTTATGTTGGGCGGCAGAAGCTGACGGGTTCCAGCTGCCACAGGCCGGGTACATTCTACGCAGCAGCCGGAATCCGTCAGCTTCTGCCTCCCAACAGAGAGGTCTTTTCTGCGTCTCGCACATCACCACAGGCGCCAGAAAATGCCAGACCTCTTCATTTCTTAATTTGCCTGTTCTGGTTTTCCTAGCAAGACTGTACTGACACAAGCAGCAGCTTTTTGCTTCGGGCCCCATGGCACACCCCATGGCACCCCCATGGCACACCCCATGGCACACCCCATGGCACACCCCATGGCACACCCTATGGCGCACCCTATCCCATCGTACACCCCATGGCACACCCCATAGAGTGCTGCGAGTAAGAAGCTGCCAGGGAGTGTTGACGAACAGCCCGTCGCTCCTCACGGTCTGCCGATAGAACGACATGATCCGCCCTTTTTTGCTCCTCAAGCCAGGTTGTGGACGATGTGACGAATCTGCAGCTATAGATATATTGAGCCATGTCCGAAATTCGCTTTTGAAAAGCAACTGTGAAATCCGAAGCCGCTATTCTCTCCATACACCTTTCTATTGAAGTCATGTCAGCCGTGGACGCTGCTCACGTTCTGGCAAATCGCGTCAAAAAACTCGGCATATGTGGAAATGTGCCAGCACTTCTCGTGTACGAGCGTCCCTCTTCCGTGTGGCATGTCACTCACCACTGCCCCCAAGGCATGGCTTTCCCAGATCTGAACGCAATGGTAAGCCTGTAGCGCCTGCATTCATCTATGATAAGCCTATTGCTAATCATGTAGATGATTGCGGATGGGACATCCAATCAAGAGATCAATCATAACGCTCTGCGGAAGAATGACAACAAACAAAGAGAAGTTGTCCGAAAAAGAGGTCCTTCCATAGAGAGGAAGACTCAGCGGCTAGGGCGCCGCGGTAAAATCTGCGTGCTCTTATATCAGTGGCCTGTTACAGGTATCTGGCGTCAAACCGTGTGCTGCCCTGATGGAAAGGCACTTCCAGATCTGAACGCACTTGTATGTCTGGATTCTTGCGTAGTATGCTGTTGCTGACCTAAACTAGCTTGAACTGCACGAAGGAATTCCATTCGAGCTGCGGGCCCGGCCCAAAATTTGAGTGGCGACGAAGACAACGAGCATGGATAAACAGGGTCAGGCGCTAAAGTGTCGTTCTTTTGCTAGATAATTTGCAGGGAGTAATGGGTGGGCTCCCTTACCTAGATGCTTTATTTCCTGCCAAATGAGTCTCGACCCTAATGCTCCTTTTCTCTACATCACTGAAAAAAATAGTTTCGTTGTAGAAGAACAGTAATTGGTGGTGGATATGTTAAAATGACTGCTGCATTGGTGAGATCGGAATTCGTCCTACCTACATATGTAACACCCTTTTCATTTTATTAACCAGTCATTAAATCAGGCAACGAAGGCCAAGGTGGCATGGAGCAGATACAGGCCTCTGACCCTGTGGTTCTGGAACAGCCCTCACCTGCCAGACAAATATAGGTGCTAATCTACCATTCCTGAAACGGGAACCAGGAAATAACCACCACACTGAGTAATGCTATGATAATGACGGCGATCACACGAAGGAAAAGTGTATATTACTTTGCTGTGGCTTTAACGCTTCTGCTTTTGTTCAAACACACTTGGCAAGGTAAGGACTCGCCGCTCCCCCTTTTTTTCTCCAGCCGTCCAAAGATCCGTAGTAATGATGGCAAGTAGGGCATGCGAGGGATGCGGACTTCAACGAGCCTGCTAAGGTAGGAAAAGTGATGATGAGCTATGGCAACATGTCGATATACGACAGAACAGTCAGTACGCATCGCACGCATAATCAGCGTTTCGGATATCCGTTTTTCCTTCTGGAGACAACTGTCCTTGAGGGTGTGTGGAACAAATACGCAATACTCTTGTCCGTGTTGTTACAAGAGCTGCAGAAACCACTCAACAAAAGGCTCGAATGGTTATTGTGAGAATATCTGGCTAAAGTCGCTGCATAGTACATCGCTCCATCGTGGCATGCTAATGACGTCGCTGCATAGCTGGTTTGACGCAGATACAGTCATATTGAATCCGAATATACCTCTAGAGATATTTTTGCCACCGAGTCGACATGATGATGTCCACTTACTGCTCACCAAAGACTGGAATGGGATGAATAACGGAGTGTTCCCACTACGTGTAAACTCTTGGTCTGTTGAATTGCTCTCCGCGGCCTTGGCGTATCCAGTTACACGGCCAGATGTTGCACTTTTCTGGCCCGATCAATCCGCATTGGATCGTGTGCTGCACGAGAACCAGTACTTTGCCGCATCTGTTGCATATTGCCCGCTGCGATGGTTCAACGCATATATGGCTTCGGCAGACGGAAAATCGCTGAATCCGGACTCGCCGGAGCAACTCCAGGTTCATCGCGGGGATCTGCTCGTTCACTTTCCGGGGACCCCGCGGAGCGCGCTAGAAAGTACTCTTCAGCCGTATCTTGTCCTGGCAAATGAGCACTTAGGCGAATGGGAACTGCGCTTGGAGGACACGCAGTACTTGAAAGAGACCAGAGACTTTTGGGCCAGTCGGATATCGGATGTGGCCACGCAGGCGGATGTCAAGACTGAGAATGAATATTAACCTGATAGGTATTAATACAGAGAAGGAAGAATCGTATCTATTGAAGGTCTTATGGCCGCCAAATAATCCCTCATTCTCAGCCTCAGAACGTAGAATTTGGCGTCGCTATGACTACGTTAAAAATTGATGTGATTATTGACTAATCTTTCGCGAGAACGCGACGTATTTCTCGAATCTATCACCAATCTTCTGCTCCCCGCAATGATTTCCCGACGTCTGAGGTCTCCGACACAAAACGCGGCATTGAAGTGGAATGCATTGACACAATCCATGAGCGAAGCGCATCACGGCACCAGCATCAACCCAGCCAATCCCTGCATACACAAGATGCTTCCATGCGTGATCATGCCGCTGTTGGATCTGACTCATGATTACCGGTCACGCAACCGTTTTCAGAGCCAAGCCCGCCGCAGCAGCTCCAAAAAAATCCATCTGGATAATCTTTACGATTGCGCTTTGTGTCTATATCGCCATGGACGCTCTCGTCATAGTCCGCCCAGAACTCCGAGTCGTAATCAGTCTCTAGTGTGCCTTAGAAGAGTTAGTATGTTTCGGTAGATGCTCAAAGCAATGCGAACCTATGTGAAATATGCAAGCCTCGCTGCCGTTGTCTGCCATCGTGAAAGCTGTCTCACACCGTACGCATATTACGGCTGAAGTCGTTTTGGATCTGCGATTCGCATCACGTAGCGTTGTCGTGACAGAGTCGATGATCTGGCAGGTCTCGTCGTCCTTACAAAGAAAGAGTAAGACTGCTTGTGCCTCTTCCTGTGTCAGACACGAGATCAGCCCTATTGCATCGATCATGTCGTGAAGTCTCTAAATGCCTCCAAGCCAGACAGATTTTACGTATTCACTGCATTTGTGGCAACAGCTATGGGGAGGTGAAGAATGCAGTGGCTAAGCGAGGGCTGTGCCGGTGGAAACGGCGAGCAAAGTTGGCGGTAGAGTGGTCTAAATTGGCCCGGCAAGGCCTTGACAGCGTATGCAGAGCCAAAATGCATACTGCAGCCAAAACCTGCCCATCGATGCCGGACCCTCTTAGCTGCGCTGAAGTCACCTCCAAAAGCTATTCTGTCGATACGCAGCGCGACATTGTCAGCACCGTGTATCTTCACAAAAACTACGCCCAAGACTCTACAAAAATGTTGTTTGGGCCCAAATAAGTGACCAGATGTCCAATTGTACTGATTGTCTACAAGTAACGATGAGTCGGGAAACAACATGTGACTTCATCAGCAAAGTTAGGCCGACAAACTCCCTCATGCTAATTATGTCAGTGCCTAAGTTATTCACGAATGTTCCCCCCAAACGGTACTACATATATAGTTCTGGGACTTGATAGCTCCGAACGCAGCAGTGATGCCGCGGAAATGTATCCACGCAGCAATTACGACCGCGACATGAAAGCAAAGATCCAAGCAGTCTTTCTCTGTAGTTGCAAGTTGCCTACCCATTTTATCTTTACACTGGGACATCGTTAAAATCGAGCGAACACTTCTTCTCACGGAGCCTGGCTGAGGCATGACACGGGGTACGCATCGTCCGCATACTGACACAAAGTTGCTAATCCTCATGAAACTCGAGAAAATTGAACTGAAATGCTATTTCATCAGCTGCTTGACAGATGACCTGTGAAAGAAAAGTGAGTGAGATCTCCGGACTATCTACGGATCAATCATTTTGAAACAACGAGTGTGAAAATAAAAGATTCTGGTGGCAAGTAGCGTTGTAAAGCCAGTCGAAAGGCCCTCGTAGCTTGGTATCGTGAAACTTTAGTCAGGGAGATACTATGATGCCGCAGTGGTAAAAACCAGTGTGAAGAAAACTTGTTTTGTAGAAGCGCATAATTCAAGATGTGCTCGGCACCACCGGTGGCCCGGCTTTCTATAAATGTAATTTACAGCGAGCCATTTGTCGCTCCTCCACCGAGGCATCCAAAATCCCGCCTTCGCGCTGCCCTCAGTAAGCATTTTAACAACCCGCCCCCCGTTCCCATTATTGTCAGAGCGAAGCAATTATTTTCAGAGCGAAACCTGCTTTGACTTTGTTCCGGATGTGGTATATTCGCTGTCAAAATGGATCACAAAGTAGTTATAGACTTGACTGGGTTTGAGCAGCTCTGCTTCAACTGCCGAGCGATACTCGAGGATGGACCTAAACATCGCATACATGGATATGTAAGTTGAGAAAATTGAGTTGGTCTGTGTTCTGACGGAAAAAGCTTCTCTGTACAGAATGCGCCGACATTGTATCGCTTCTTCGCGTGCACTGCTGGCAGGCATGCCTTGTTTGCGCTCTGGCGGACGAGGCGGACGATATCGACTGCGAAGACGTCCAAAATTTCTTGGACAAGCCGGTAAGCCAGTACAGTAATGCTCGCGGCAAAAATTACCAGAAGTTGATTGGGATAGAATACATTTGTGAAGCAGTATGATTGGAAACACTGCGCCGTTTGCGATGAGTCCGAGGGTCTTCTCTATACTCCGTGTGGTAGGCAAACCCCCAGAGGCCACTCGCCCCTACACGGCTGACAAATACAGGTCACGTCTTCTGTAGCATTTGTTGGGATAGGTGGAAAGTAGAGAGCCCCAGAGCGGCGTGTCCGATGTGTAAGGTTGTTATCACCATGGCATTGGTCCCGGCAAAACCTACCTTTCTCCCTCGAGAGTATATCGAAGTGGCATCGAGAAACGGCTAAGAACCGTCTGGCTTGTCTTACGGTACTAGTAGTGTGATCAGAAATACCGTCAAAGTCGTTGT